GGAGTGGTGATAGTTTGCATTCTTGGCTTGCTCCTGATTTTAGAGTGAAAGGTTTCAGTTTTTGACCACTTAGTGTGATGATGGCTATTGGTTTGTCATAGATGCCTTTTATCAGATTGAGATAAAGAAGTTCTATTACAATTTTCTGAAGATTTTTTTTATCATGAATGGATATTGGACATGGTCAAATGCTTTTCTGAATCTATTGAGATGAGCATTTGGTTTTTGTCCTTGGTTGTGTTAAATGTGATGTATTATATTTATTTATTTACTTATTTATCCCTGCAGCCCTGGGATAAATCCTATTTGGTAATGGTATATAATCTTGTCTATGATTTCCTGAATTCTCTTATCCAGTATCTTAGTGTGGATTTTTGCATTTATGTTCATGAGAGAGATTGGTGTGTAGTTGTCTTTTTTGGTTGGATCCTCCTCTGGTTTTGGAATCAGGGTAATGTTTGCTTCCAGGAACGAGTTTAGGAATACTGCTTCCCTTTCAGTTTCATTAAAGATTTTGAGGAGTAGTAACATTCAGTCTTCTCGAAAGTTCTGATAGAATTTAGCAGGAAATGCATCAGGACCTGGACTTTTCTTTGTTGATAGTGTTTTCAATTCTGTCTTCAATTTCATTGACTGATATCACATTATTTAAAATTTTATATCTCCTTGATTCAGCTTTTGTATTTCCTACATATTTAGGAATCTACACCTTCCTTCTGGTTTTCCATCTTATTGGATTATAGTTTCTCAAAGTAAGTACTGGTGATCTTCTGGACCTCTGCAGGGTCCAATTGACTTCACTCCTCTCATTCTTAATTGCATGGATCTCCCCTCTGCAGTGACCTTAAGAGGTCATCCTAGAGACGTGGCCTGAAAATCTCAGGTACCAGGTTACTATTTCAGTCTTTTAGTGTGGAAGGATGGCACATTGGCTCATTTGTGAGACAGTGTATGTTTTATAGGCGAGGGTTGAAACCTAGTCCAGAAAGAGGCTGAGAGGAGCCCAGATCTGGCTGTCTCAGGAGAGAATCTTCCTGATCTGTGGCTTCTCAACTCAGAGTTAGTCCTTGACTTAGATTTTCCACTTCCTTCTCCTCTAGACTGCAGACCATAGAGTCACTCGAACTGAGCTCACTGGGAATTCCAGTCATCTGGGAAGAATGAAGCCAGACAACTGAGGCCCAGGGGTGACACGCCTGCTCCTCCCTGTGAGATGAAGACACGCTCACTGCACCTGAAGAGACCAGGTGGGACCCATGTGTGTGCTGCCAGATGGAGAGTCCCAAGGGGTTTCTTTGAAGCGCTCTTAATGATAATGTAATCAAGTTAATCCTAGTTTATGCACTGTGGTCTCTGTCTGATCTAGGAACTCAGCCTAACGAAATGTCTTAGAAGGGAGCCATTATGTTTCTTCTCGATATGTTATACTACTGGATTTTATATCCAATCCATTTTGAGGTCACATTTTTGCACATGTTGAAAAGACCACCTCTTTTGCACTGAATTATGATTGTAACATGGCCAAAATGCAACCAGTGGTACACATCTGGGTCTGTTTTAGAACTCTGAGTTGTTCCAATGGCTTATCTATCATGATCCCCCGAACACACTCTTGATGATTGTAGCTTAAGAACAAGGTGTGAGGCAAGGCAAATTCTCAATCATTGCTCTTATTTTCAAAATTATTTCACCCTTTGGGTTGGTTCCTTTCTCTCAATGCTGAGACAAAAAACTTGCTGCCCAGAATTAAGGAAGGAAAAGTTTATTTAGCTCACAATTTGTGGACATTTCAATCCATAATCAGCTGGCTCCAAGGGAGAGTAGCACATGGCAGAGGCAAACAGTTCATGGCAGCAGAAAACAGCAAAAGCAACCAGTGCAAAAAGGGAGGACCATCAAGAGGAAGACTCTTTCAGTCCCACATATTGTATGCAGGCTACCCATCCCAGGGCAGGTGCAGCACTCACACTCATAATCCCAGCATTGGTCCATGAATCAATCAAAAACTCTAGAAGTCCACCCCATTAATGCAAGAGGCTTTGGGAGGACATCTAGACACAGAACATAACAGCAAACTTTAGTTCTTTGCATTTCGCCCTGAATGTAGATCAGAAATATAATAGATTTTTGTGTTTCTACCTTGTGAACTTATTAAAAATTTACTTATTGGTAGCCTTTTTTATATATTACATTAAGTTTCCTACAAATAATCATACTTCTGGTCAATAAAGGTGATTAGGTCTTCTTTTCTATTTAGGTACCCATTTTTCTATTTCTAGCTTTCTTACACTCTATAACACCTATGGTACAGCAAAGAGCTTTTCATTAGCATGTATGGTATCACTTGAAGTTTTTCATAAATGGTCTTTATCAGGATTGAGGAATTCCTTTTAATTTGCTAAGAGTTTTTGATCAGGAATAAACATTCAGTTTTGTTCTATGCTGTTTCCCTGACACTAAGATAACCCTATTTCTTTCAAGTTGTTCATATAATGTATTCCATCACTTAATTTTGCAATGTTAAACAAGTCATCCATTCCTAGGATATATCCCACTCACTTGTGAAGTCCTGTCCATTTTATACATCACTGGATTGAGTGGACTACTATTCTCTCAGAATTTTTCACCTATGTTCATGAAGGACAGTGACTTTAGTTTTCTTTGCTTGTCATCTCTTTGTCTTGTTTGGATAGCATGGTAATGCTGATCTCATAGAACAGGTTCAGAAGTATTTTTAAGAATTTTCATTATTTCATTCCCTAATCTTTTCTAGGATTCACCAGTGAAGTCATTTGAAACTAGAGTGTCTTTGTGAGTATTTGAACTTCAAATCTAGTGTTTTAATAATGTCAGGACTCTTTAACTTATCTATTCTAAATGAGCTTTGGTAGTCTTGGGTTTTTAAATACTTGATTATTTTATCTAATTTGTTACATATGTTGACATAAAAGTGTACATACTATTCCCTTGTCTTTGCTTTAATATCTATAAATTCTGTTATGGCACCATCACTTTCATTCCTTGAACAGGTGATTCCTCCCCCTTGTCACCTCACTAGAGCATTATCAATTTAATTTTTCTCAAGAAAGTGCTTTCAAGTTTTTAGTTGAATCACTTTATTGTTTTCAAGTCATTGATTTCTGTTCTGACCATTATTACTTATTTTCCCCTGACTATTATGGGTGTAATATTTCTAATCCTGGATATCAATTGATTTCATTTTACTGAACCAAGGGCTTCCTTGCTGAAAACTGCATCAGAAGGGCTTTAGTGTCAAAGACTCCAAGCAGAGGTGGGGGAAACAGTTGCTGAATCATTTAAGGAAAGAAGACCTGTCAGTCTCTACTGTCTCATTTGTTAGCAGAACTTAGAATATTCCCAGTGGTAGGTTACATTTTGACCTTCTGAAACTCATGTTGAATTGTAATTACCATGGCAAGATGTTAAGAAAGGAGGCTGGGTGGGGCCTTTCCAAGGTGATTCGTTCACTGCTCTCAGGAACAGATCCACTAAGCACAAGGTAACCCGTGGTTAATGGGTTGTGAGGATGGATCTGGCATCACAGCTGGTTTTGCTGGGTCTCTCTGGAGGTCTCTGTTTCTTGCCATGTGCTGCTTTACCCCACTTCGGGCTCTGTCTGCAAGGAGAATATCTCTAAATGTGGCCCTTCCACTGTCCACAGAAGCGTCAGACCAGGGAACCCTCTTTCTTTCTACTTTACCTGGCTGTGGTCCTGTGTCACTAGCAAGAGAAGAAGGATGGGGCAGGGAACCTGGCTTCGCCGGTGCGGAGGCCTCTGAGTGGTGCCAGCATCAGATATCATGGCGCGAGGAGCCCTGAGGCAACACTTCACAAGAGGAGCCCTGGCCCCAATGGTCCGTCTTCCTTGTGTGAGGAAAGGAGGAGGAAAAGTTGTTTTCCTTGTTGGCTTTGTTCAGGGCTTTCAGTTAATATAAACTGTTACCATTACCTTCCCTCTTCCTGCAGTGACCTAACTGAAATTTTAGGATTCTTCGCTTACCAGTATTATGTTGTGTATGTTCTATTTTAGTGAAGGTTTTTGTTTTGTTTTGTTTTGTTTTTTGTAAGTGAGGCAAAATGTAAGGATCCCTGCCTCTCCGGGATCAGAGTGCTCCCAAGACAGGTGTCCCACCTAAGGAGGTTCCTTTAGAAGACCCCAGCAGGCCTCACCCTAAGTCAGGACTCAAGAGTTTCTCTCAGACATCTGGAGAAACTTCAAGGAGGACAGAGAAGCCTTGGGAAAAGCTCCCTGCTACCCAGGAAACTTCCCTTGCCTTGTGTTCCTCTGGCCATTGTCACGGAGCCTTCCACTGGCCTCCAGCCTGAGACTGCACAGGCGCACTGAGAGTTGGGACCCTGCAGGCCCAGGGTGCCTCCAGGAGCTCCCTGCTGACAAAGGACAAAGTCACTGTTCTGAGCCGGTTCCTCTGCATGTCTGCCCCGGGCTGGAAGAGCAGGACGCACACAGCAGCCCTCAGGCCCAGGCGTGTGTTAGAGGACTCTTATGCTCATAGGACTTGGGACCTGGGCTCTGTGTAGGTGCTTGGCAAGAACCAACCAAAGTGCGTGGGGGCCAAACTGAGCAAACACTTTGACTTCATCTCCAGGGCTCCTTTGTGTAAAAGGGGATCGACCTCCCCAGGCAAGTCTCAGCTTCTCATTCCCCTTTGGCTTAATGGAATGAGGAGAGCTCGGGCTCCTAGTTGTCTTCTCTCCTCTGGTTTTTCTTTGTTGTTTGAATTTTGGTAGGGGCTATAGTGGGGATTGAACCAGGATCGTCCTACATGCTCAGTCCAACACAGTCCCTTTTCTAAAATTCTGGGACTAATTCTTCCTAAATTAATGGGGGTGGGGGCCTCCAAATCACCATCCTCCTGCTTCAGCCTCCCCCAAGGATGCCACACTCTGCTTCTGGTTCTTGAGCTTGTCTCTGATCTGCTTTCACTTTCACAATTTAAATTTTTGCAGGGCAAGATTTTGCATCCTCTGTTGCAACAAGGTCATCAGCACCTCCTGTACCCCACCAGGATCCCTGTGGCCCAGGGGGCCACTGGGCTGTGGAGGAGGCGAGACAGGAAGACAGGACAGAACAGGACTGGACAGCCCCGCCCCTGGAACCAGAAACACCCACATAGCCAGGGACACAAAAGCCTGGGCTTCCTGAGCCGCCCCGCACTGAGGCCGCTGTCCTGCCATTGATCCAGTGGGGCCAGGCTACAGTGGAGCTGCGTGCTCTGTGAAGGTGAGGTCAGCTGTGGCAGGCTGGGTGGGAACTGACCAGGTTTCTGCCCTGGGGCAGATGGGGTTGCAGAGAGACCTGGGCAAGGCCAGGTGGCACCTGCAGCTGCAGCTCTGGAGCTGAGGGGGCACAGATGGCCTCACTCCCTAGGGCCGTCCTGGTCACCTCTCAGCCTGTCTTCCCTGCAGCAGCCCCGCCCTGGTTCCTCTGTCTGTCCTGGTCCTGGTGCTGATCCAATCCCGCTCTCCTTCAGACCCAGCTTCCCTACCCTTCCTGTCTTTCCTGTCACTTGCCTCCCCAAAAACAGAAACCTTCTTTCTCTGAAACCTGCTTCCCCTCTGGGTCTGGGTCCCTGTCCCCACTGCCTGCAGCAGGGACCCAAGTCCCACAGAGAGGCTGCAGCACAGCAGGGAGGGTGGCTTTGGCCAGGAAGTGGGGAGGGAGGCCGCCTGGGCAGCCCTGAGATGAAGCAGATACAGGGTTATGTGGGAGCGCCCAGGCCAGGGCTCAGGGGCCTTCAGAGTAGAAAGCATATCTGCAGGCTCAGAGGCCGCTGTGAAGGGACCAGGATGGGTGGAGGGGTCACGGGAGCAGAGAAGAGGGCAGAAGTCAGCAGTGAAGAAGAGCAGCGGTGTGTAGGGAGCTGCGTTGATTTGCATGGTGGTGAGGACAGGCAGGGGACACACGGACCAGAGCGGCAGGAGCAGCAGGGTCTGGGGAGGGCCCAGGGCTGTGGACAGGAACCTGCCTCTCTCGTGGGAGGTGGAGATTGGGGCAGGGGTTGAAGGGGGCCTTCGGAGCCCGTAGGGGAAGATGCTCAAGGGAAGACCCAGGGAGATCCTCCAGGTGCCTGGGACCAGGGAGGGAAGCGCCCCCAGTTTCTGAGGGAAACCTCAGTTCCTTAGGGAAAGTGAAAGAAAACAGGAAAAACAACAGTGTTCCCTCCCTGAGTCCAGGGTTTCGGTCACATGATTTCCGCAGCAGGGCAGGTTGGGGAGGAACTCTGAGCTGGATGCAGGCAGCCCACCCTCAGGGACACAGGCTGCAGGGCGGGAGAGACAGCAGCCTGGCGCCCTCAGCTAGCCGGGCCCTGAGCTGTCCCTGCAGCAGAAGGCTCTGTCCTCACAGCAGGTTTGACCTCAGCCTGCCTCAGGCAACAGCTCCTATCTTTGTGCATTCAGGGCCTGGCGCACAGCTGAAAATCGCACAGGGATTCTCCATACACAGAGGCGAGAATAAGCACAGGAGGGATGCTGAGGCCTGGCTAGAGGTCCTCCCTGCTCCTCACTCTGGGTCTCCTCCTCTCTGTCCCTCCTCCTCCCCCACCCCTTCCTCCTCCTCCTCTTCATCCCTGACTCAGTGCTGCTCCTGGAAGGGAGGAGGTGGTGCTTGTGGGGAAGGAGCAGAGTTCACCTGGCCCAGCCGTGTCCTGTGTGTGTGAGTTCCCGCCCTCGCATCTGTCTGTGTGCTTGTGCAGATGAGAGTGTCTGTGGTTTCCCTGAGGCCTGCAGGCTGCTCTGGGTGCTGCCCCATCACCTTAGCTAATTCCCCTACAATCTGGGCATAGTTTTGGAAAGAGAGTGGCAGTGAAGTGGAACTTTTTTGGTCTAGCTTAAAATATTTGGAAGCTCTGCGATGAAAATCAAAAGGACTGTTTCCATGTAGCCAGGATACAGGGCCGTGAACCCTCAGGTGAGTGGCATGACATGGCCCTTTGGTCTTTGCCTCTAGACTGCATCATGAACACGCTGTCGGAAACCAATGGCTCCTTTGCCATCCGCCTTTTAAAGCTTCTTGGTCAGGAGGACCCTGCACGCAATGTCTTCTACTCTCCCTTGAGCGTCTCCTCAGCCTTGGCCATGCTCCTGCTGGGGGCCAAGGGCAGCACGGCGGCCCAGATCATCCAGGTAGGCTGGGCTCTGTCCTGTCTCCTTCCTGCCGGGACTCCATGAGATGATTCATATAAACACGTGCTCAGTGGGAGTGAGCTACCAGCGATCACAGTGATGCCTCAGTCTTAAGTGAAACTGGTTTAACTTTCAATTTGCTTTCTTATATATTTCCTGTGGTAAACTACATACAACATTTTCCATCTGGACCCTCATTTAAGCTTGCAATTCAGGGGCATTGGTTCAATTATTGGCATTTTCTTTTCAGTAATCTTTAAGCTTTATCAGAGGACTTTGCAGCTCTTCCAATTTTCCTATGATGAAGCAGTATCATTAGGATTAAACTTGTTGGGTATTAGAAAAAAAGCTTTTTAAAGACCATCTAACTCTTTTAAGAAGTAGCTTTCAGTTATTTTTCTTGTTTCTCTGTTGTCATGGGTAGGGTCATATCCTCTTTTTTCTAAGTTTTAAACAAATTTAAATGCATCAAAGCCTAAGAACTGTATGCATTTGTGAAATAAGTGGGGTTTTGATGACTGCAGCATTAACTGTATAATGACTGAATCTGGGTAAGTACCCAGGTCTGCCTGGAACTATTATTTACTTAGAATAGAATAGCACTGTGATTGCTGGGGACATTGGTTATTTACTTGGGAGAGAGGTTTTTTTCTTCTAACTACTCAAAGATGAACAGAAACCCTTCACACTGAGCCTGCCCCGTTAAAAATTCTTTATTGTGCTCGCTTCGGCAGCACATATACTAAAAATTCTTTATTCCCAACCTTTGAAAAAGTGCTTGAAAGTCTTCCTCAATTACGTGATTGGCCAGGCTGGGCTTCAACTTATTTATTTGTTGATCTATTTTTTGAAATTTTGAATTTTTGATCCTCCTGCCTCACGCTTTCAGAGTGCTGAGATGAGAGCTGTCTGCCACCATTCCAGGCACAAAAAAGTATTTTAGTAATTACGCAGATGGGCCATTTTCTTGTTATTGGTATTTTATTAGTGATTTTAATTTCTACATGAATGCATTAATATCAGATCCTAAAACCTGTACACTTTCTTTTTTCTGTACTATGACATAGAGCCCAAATCTTCACATTGAGAACCACTCTCAGCCCTTTGTTATTTTGAGACAATCTTGCTTACTCCCTGGCCAGCCTGATCTTAAACTTGCAGTCCTCCTGCCTCAGCTTCCTCCTGCTGGGATTCCAGACCTGCACAACCATGCTGAACTGTAATCTTAACATGTTTGTATTTCAGAATCAATTGAGACTTTTCTTATAGCTTAATATATATTTTATCAAATTTGAAAGTAACACTTAAAATATATGTAATAAATAATCTCTCTAGGATACAACTTTAAGAACTCTGTTTCATTTCTCTTAATCCTGTTGTTTCTTTTATACCCTTAACTCCTTTTAATATTCCCATGTGCTTCTATTCCTGCACATTTTCTTTGCAGTTTTAGTGCTTTGAACCATGTATTTCTTTTTGAAATAAATTTTACATACAGTTTTTCTCCTGTGTCTGGTGGATTCCTCCCCAGCAGGGGATGCAGGCTTTATAACAGTTCCATTTTGGACCTCTCTGGCCATTTTCCTTTTCCCTCACTGGCCTTGAGTCTCCAGAGGGGGAGGAGCCACAGCTGTGAGCACATTTCCTACCCTCGCCAATCTCTCCATCACCCCACCAGCGGCTCCTCAGTAGGATGCACTGCTCAGGTAAAGTAAAACAGCCTTGCTGGGTGGTGTGTTGCACACCAGAAATTGTAGCACTCAGGAGGCTGAGGCAGGAGCATCCCCATGAGTTTGAGTCCAGCTTGGATTACTTAGTTAGACCCTCACTCAGAAAAATAACAACCCAAACCAAAACAACAATAAATTTCTGGCAAAGGATTATTTTATGGAGTGTTTGAGAACAAACTTTCACTTTGGTAAGCTCTCTGTGAGACCAGAGGACAACACTGACGATGTGTTTTGGCATTTTCACAGGCGCTGGCATTAAACACCGAGGACGACATTCACCGGGGCTTCCAGTCGCTTCTTACCCAGGTGCACAGGCCTGGGGCTCCGTTCTCCCTCAGCATAGCCAACGGGCTCTTTGGAGAAGAGAGCTGCCAGTTCCTCTCAGTAAGTTCAGGAAAGTTGATTTAAAATACCTGGTGCCCAGAGCTCAGGAGGAGGACCCCTCAGAACTTGATGAACTGAGGGGAAAGCTTGTCTTTCCAAATGATGACTGTGCTCTAAGGACGCCTGGCATGATTTCCCATGTGAGGGTCTTGGAGTTCTTTCATTCATGTCCAGTTAGTCCAGACTCAGCACATCCCCACTTAGAGTCTGGTATTTGACAACTTGAAAGCTCAGTATGACCTCTTCTAAGAACCACATGTGTCATGTATAAGTTGTCAAAGGACCAGGTAGTACTCAGAATGTTCAGCAGCGTGCTGATCTTTTGTGCAGCTCCCTGGCCTCACCCTTTGTGTCTCTGTCCACAGTCATTTCAGGAGTCCTGTCTGCAGTTCTACCAGGCAGAGCTGGAGCAGCTGTCCTTTACCAAAGATGCAGAGAGGTCCAGGGAACACATCAATGCTTGGGTGTCCAGAAAGACTGAAGGTCAGCATTAGCGCTTCCTTCTGCTCATTTCTCTCCCCGCCTCTCCTCAGCCCTGCTCTATGTTTGAGCCTGATCCTCATTCACTCCCAGTTCACACAATGACATATTCCCTCCATGGCCCCGAGATCAATGATGGTTGGACGTGTGACCCATTCACACTCCCGAACACCAGTACGAGCATTTTTATTTGTGCTAACACATGAGACAGGAGTAAATGGAGGGTAGTTTTCCCTGAAAACTAAACAGTTATTCCCCTCATTTCTTTTGGAATCTTTACCACTTATGCCTTCTTGAAGCAGCAATTGGGAAGGGTGCATTAGGTCATGAGAAGGCAACTCTAGATATCCAGGGGAAGAGGAGCAAATCCAGCTCGCCCAGTTTATCTTCCCCAGGGCTGCCTGGAGCTCTGTCTGGGGATCAACAGTGATCTCTCTTCCCTGGGCTCCCAGAAGCCCCTAATGTGCCCGTCAGCCACTTCCTCCCTTTGGCCCTGTTCTGGCCGCCCCTCACACTGACTCCTCCCTGCCCAGTGTTAGCTCTGGGTGTGAGCAGGGAGCCTTAGACCTCACACTGCATTTAACCCCTGAGGGACCGCAGTCAGTGGGACAGCGCATCTCTCCTGTCCTGCTTGCTGGACCTCCAAGCTGCCCTTTCTTTCTCATTGGCTGCTCTCCTTGAGTGACTCAGAAGCCTGTCACCTCCCCCATTTGGTGGATGCTCCCCAAGTGTCCATGTGCACGAACACTGCTCCTCGGAGTTGTTTCCCCATGTTTAATGCATAACATCCTAACTCAGCTAGTTTGAAATCATCATGCTTAAATCTACCAGGATGTGGTCCTAGAGTTTGTCCACCGTGTGTGTATAAGGAGCCACTGAATGTAGTCTCTGCTTTCCCCAAAAGGCAAAATTGAGGAGTTGTTGGCAAAGGATTCAATTGGAGAGGACTGCAGGCTGGTTCTCATTAATGCTGTCTACTTCAAAGGAAGCTGGGAGGAACCGTTTGAAGAGTGGAGCACAAGGACAGTGCCTTTCAAAATAAACCAGGTAGGGAGAAGCTCTCAACAAAATCATTTCCTAAAGAAGTGGAATAAAAAAATTTAACTTTCAAGGGCATAAGTGGTTAGAAATTCTTGGTAACAATATATATCTGAATTGACTTTTGAACTCAGGAAAACAGAATGTGAGGACTTCAGAATATTTGGTACATATAATTTTTGCATTAAATGACTATTCTCCCTGTCTGATCATTTCTCCTGAGTTTACGCCTGCAGCCTGAGTCCGAACACTGAAGATTTTCTTTATGTCCCATTGTCAGGTAGAAGCAATAAAAAAAAAAGTGATACAATATTGTGTCATGTGTACAGGGCACTGGGCAGTATCAAAAAAAAAAATGCAAAGACGCATATCCCTAATCAAATAATTTTTAAATTAATAGAAGTGTTCATTTGAACTGCTGTTTAGTACAGATTTATTAATTCAATATTTGTAAACATCTAACCTTCTAAACAAGTGGCAAAATGTTACTCCTGATATTTTCAACTTCAATCAAAGCAGAGTAAAATAATTTGCCAAGTCATATAAACTTTTAAAAACAGATGATTATCAAGAAAACATTTGGGATGTTTATCCATGTTCCACTACACCTCCACTTTAAAATAAGATGCACTTCCCGTAATGATTCATTCAGTGTTCCTTATGGGACTGGTGGGGGGGTTGTTGCTTTCAAAGCCAAGCAATACCACTTTGCAAATTCGGAGCTTCTCATTTTATTCTGCTAACTTGGACATCTCCCAGGCTGCTCCTGCCTCTGCCCACACTCCTTGACTTTTCACACTTGTGGGAAGTGCTGGGTGGGGTTTCCACAAGGGTTACATGGAAAGCAAATACCGTTTCCCTGGTGGCAGTGGTATCACTCAGGAAAATCCTTGGCAGTTTTCTTGCTCCTTGGAGAATCTGTGTGACATGCGTGCCCCTCTGCTCACCCCGTCAGAAGGAGCAGAAGCCGGTGCAGATGATGGTCCAGTCAGGCACGTTTCCTTTGGCCCACGTGAGCGAGGTGCAGGCCCAGGTGCTGGAGCTGCCCTATGCGGGCCAGGAGCTGAGCATGGTCGTGGTGCTCCCGGACGAAGGAATGGACCTCAGCACGGTGAGACAGGGGTCTGTGTGTGTGTGTTTCCGTCCTTCCCGGAGCATCTGGTGACATCTCTGTGTCCTTTCCCACCGGAACCGCCCTGGCACACACTCCTGCCCTGGGCCATCCCTCTGTCCCCCTCTCTACTGAAAGCCACTCACAGTCCCACCTTGTTGTGTCCAGCAATGAGCTCCCCTGGGATGAGCAGCTACTGGGGTGCTAAACTCAGCAGCAGAAATGAACTAGAGGGACAGAGCTGAAGAGAGGATGACCTTGCATTTGTTAGGAGGAAAAAGCAGAAGATAGGCAGCTGCCCCAGACAGGACAAGGGCCTGGAAAGATTGAAGCCCATGGGCCTTTGTCCCTGGTTTCTTTGATGATGTTTTGGGGGACCCTCACTCCTCTGACACTGGTCACAATTAGATTGGCTCCCAATGTGTCCTTGGATTAAATGAGGCATTGAAGGCTATGTGAACATCTCTATAGTTGTCTTGGTCTGACTTCTCTGTGTCCCTTTGTCCTTCCAGGTCTTTATCTCAGGGAAGAGCAGGTGATTGGTTGGGAGGGGCTTTCCAGAAAGTCAGCTTCGAGTTAGTGGGCCATATGTGTATCTGTTGTAGTAACACAGCGACCCTACAGTGGAAAAAATACCTGTGCAATTGCATAGGTGAGGAGACATACTGTACCCTCTGAGCAGAAGTTCTCCTAAAGTGGCTCTTTTCTCTCCTCCTGTGTCTTGTGTTGGGCCTGGAGGACACTCCTGGCTCTGTATTCTTGGCTTCTCTGTGCTCGGCCCATCTGCTTTCCCTCTGGTGTCAGTCTGGATGCCATTTATTCTAGCTGTATCTTTTATATCTGCTTTTTCTTTTTTATACTTTCTTGTCCTTTCTTTTGTGTCCAAGGGACTTCCTCTATGAAATTTTCACTCTTTCTAGTCAGGATTAGCTAGAAAGCCCAATGAGGCCTTCATGCTGTTCTTTCCCTGAAGACAGACCCATCTCCCTACAGCCTCAGGCCCCTGCCCTGGTGACTCACAGCCACAGCCCTTTGTTCCTTGTTCACCAGCAATGGTTTGTCTGCTCCAAAACTAAGTCTCCTTCAGTAAACCAAAAATCTCAGAAAGCCCAAATCCCCACAAAGGGCAGCCACCTGGCAGAGACACTAGTCAGCACTGGAGGAGAGAGGCACAGCCCCAACTCCTACCCCAGGAGGGACACCTGAGATGGCTTTGCAGCAACTTCTACAGGACAATCCAGGACCTGACAAGGTCCCAGGCAGCTGCAGGGACAGTATGTGATAGTGGGCAACATTTGCGGGCCAGAGGAGCAAAGGCTGCCCCTGGGAGGGACCGCTGTGGATGGGCACTGAGGTCCGAATGGTAAATGCTATTGCCGCTCTTTCAGGTGGAAAAATCCCTCACTTTTGAGAAATTTCAAAGCTGGACCCGTCCAGAGCACATGAGGAGGACTGAAGTGGAAGTTTTCCTCCCGAGATTTAAACTGCAAGAGGATTACGACATGGGCTCTGTGCTGCAGGGTCTGGGCGTGGTGGACGCCTTTCATCCTGGCAAGGCCGACCTGTCCGGGATGTTGGCCGACAGCGACCTGTGTGTGTCCAAGTTCGTGCACAAGAGTGTGGTGGAGGTCAACGAGGAAGGCACAGAGGCTGCCGCAGCATCAGAGGGGCAGATTTCATTCGATTGTGACGAGGAATTGCCGGTGTTCCGTGCTGACCACCCCTTCCTGTTCTTCATCAGGCACAACAGCACCAACTGCCTGCTGTTCTGTGGCAGGTTCTCGTCTCCATGAGGGGTGCTCTCCCTGTGCATGCAAGCTGTGCCCTCTGTGTCCCCAAACTCCATCCAAACTCCATGAAGTTCATCATTAAAAAAACCAAGTGCAGCCTGCGGGCAGATTGGCATTCACCTGACCATCAGCATAGCGCACCATGTACGAGCTCCTCTCACACCACACTGCCACTCACTTGTGCCACTCAACAAAGATCTCAGGACGGCAGACTGCCATGTTGAATGCAGGGTGCAGAACAGATCCTGGAGCGGAGCCCACACTTTTCCTGAATGGTCACAAACACCTCTGGCACTCACCATGCGAGCTTCTTATTGTACTCACAGTGCGCCTCCTAATGCCTCCAACCCTGTCACACACGTGCCTCAACCACACCTTCTAAATCCTAATCCATGCCACTTGGTGCTATTACTCCTGTGACAGTGTTCCTCCTTCTTGGACTTTTTAAAGAAGTGCACATTTGAATTGTATTTTATTGCACATTTGCTGTTCACCAGGTCTGTACAGAACACTGCATTCGGCTGGGGACAGAGTCGGGCTTCTTCAGCAGCTGTTCTTTATTGTCTGTGCCCAGCTCACACAGCTGTTGTGGCAGCAGGTTACACTATTTAATCTTTCAGCCTTGTAGGGATGACAGGTTTATTCACGTGATTTGATTTCTCAATCTCCAACCCTAGCAGTTAAATTCATTCAACACTTAAAATTCATTTCAGACATCATCTTCCTCATGAAACTTTCCTTTTCTCCAGAACCTGATGTGCACTTTAAACTCAAAATGCAGCCATTCGTGGTGGTTGCTTTATTAATCTTCTGTCCTCTAAGGAAGTTCTCCACCTAGACCTTAGGGTCCCAGGGATTAGGCTTCCATCTCATCTGTCTGTCTGTCACTTATACTGCAATAATAAGTTACTCATTCTGTACAAGCTCTAATTACTTTCCATGTGAGATGTCACCAACTTTATTGTGCTCCTTTAGAACTTCATTGTTGAGGACATTCACATAACAAAGTTCACCATCTTAAACAGTGCATTAAGTGTATCATGTAACCACCACCTTTACCAACTTCCAAGAAGTGTTCATTGTCCCAAAAGCAAGGTCTGCCCACTAAGCAGAGAAACCAAATTTGTTGCTCCCTGCATCCCTGGATGTCACCATTCTGCTTTTTCTCTCTGTCCATTTACCTACTCTGAACATTTCATATAAACTGAAGCATATGTATGACTATTTGTGTCTGGCTTTTTTTCCTTAGTGTAGTATTTTCTAGGTGCGTTCATCACTGTAGCCTGTATCCATTTGTTCCCTTTATGGCTGTATAACATTCTTTTGCAGAAATTACCATAATTTATTTACTCATTCATCCATCTGTTTTTTTTTTTACTCATTGGGGTATATGTAAATACTTCTGCTGGTCACCTGCATGCACGTGTATTGGTTCCGATACCTGGTCTCCCTTCTTTTGCACATGTACTCAAGTGTAAAGGAAAGGAATTACTGGGTTGTAGAGTAACTCTATTTAACCTTGCAGGGAACTGTCAAACTGGTTTGCACAGCGGATGAGCCATGTTACATTCCCACCAGGAACCTATGAGATTCCAACTTCTCTGCACATTTCTTTTCTTTTCTAAGCTATGACTGTCCTGATGAGAGGAGCAGAAACATGAGGTGGTTTGGATCTGCAGATGTGCAATGACTGCTGACATGGAGGATCTTTTCAGGAGTTCATTGGGCTTTGCATTCTTTGTTTGGAAAATGTCTATGCCAGCCCTTTGCCCATTTTTAATTGGATTGATTTTTTTGTTCTTGCTGTTAAAACAGTCCTTTCCATGTTGTGGTATTAGACGCTCAACAGATACATGAGTTACAAATATTTTCTCTCATCATTAACCTGCCTTTTCACTTTAATAATACTCTTTGAGGCAGAAAGCTTTTAATTTGAAAATGTCCAGCATATCTAATTATGCTGTTGTTGCTCATGAGATTGAAGTCACATTTTAATAATCCCCTGGCCAAATTCAGGAGCATGAAGATTTACCCCTGTGTGTTTTCTTCTAAGAGTTTTCTGGATGTAGCTCTTCTGTTTAGTTGTTGACCCATTTTGTGTACATACAGCAAGGTAGACATCCAACTGAGTTCTTTGACATATGAATATCTACTTGCCCTAGTATCTATAACTGTGTTTCAATTGGTTTTGTTTTGTTTTTGTTGGTGGTGGTGGTGGTGTTGTTTTTGTGCCGGTACCAAGAATTGAACTCACGACCTTGCATTTGCCAGGCAGGCACTGTGCTGCTGAGCTAAATCCCCAGCCCCTGTTTCTGAAATGGAAAAAAATGCATTAACACTAGTTAAAAAGGCAAAATAATACCTAAATAAGCCATATATGGTGTTAAATTACTCAATTTGAGTACATCAGGTCCATTACACAAAGAACACCATTAGGAGACAAAGAAAACATAATTAAACTCCACAAGGAATTAACACTAGGATATACAAAGAACTCCATCACTCGGACAAAAAAGGCAGTAAAAGAATGACCAGAGATACACACACAAAGTATCGGGAGATACTGCCATATATTTAGATTCCCATCAGACAGGAAGTTGGATAATCCAGTAGCAACCAGGGATAGGGTGGTAGGACCTTTCTGAGACTAGGAAGGGATATATCCCACCTAGGAAGTCCTGGCAGTGCCCTGTGCCTATGTCCTGGGCGCCGTAGGCTCCCCTCTGCGGTGTATCTCCCAGAGGTGTCCTTGCCCACACTGATGAAAGGGTGGGAACTTGAGTGCTCACTGCAGCCTTGTTTGTGATGGCCCCGAAAAGGTCCTGCTCATTCATCTCAAATAGAATGAGTAAAGAAAAGGGATGCACACCAGGGAGTATATGCAGGAATTAGAGACATGTTCGCATATTCCCAGGCAACACTCTCAATGACCTGATTTCCTTGCACTAGGCACCCCCTTACAAATGTTGCACCACTTTTGAAAGTCAGCACCCTCATGTCCAAGCTTCTAATGCACAAATCTCTGGAGAACACATTCAAACCACCATGTATCACAGTTTCTGTAAATACAAACATCCCCACATCGTGCATTGTACAGTGACACAAACCTGATGCATTTCTTTATTATTGGTGAGAACTTTTTCCTGTACTTATTGGCTCCTGATTTTCCCCTCCTATCAATTAACTGTACACTTATCTAATTTGCCATTTTTGGGTGCTAGTTTTTTCACATTTTAGATATTTCTTTGCTTTTAAAGTTAAGATCTCTCTTCAATAATGTTTTTTTAATTTTTTTTAAGTTTTTAAATTTTGTGACTTGCCTTTAAATTTTGGTGTGATGTTTTCCGTATAAGCAGGTGTTATGTTTAATAACCAGATGTCCACACAAAGCCTCTTGAGCTCATAGGTGGGACTTTGGGGAAGTGATGGATTATGGGGCCACAGTATGTTCAGTAGACTAATGTACAGGTGATGTTACACTAAAAGTGATGTTGAAGGTGAAGCAGGTTGAAGGAGGTCTGCTTTCTGCTCCCCTGTCTTGAGCAAAACCCTCTGCCATGCCGCCCTGCCTTGGAGCCAGCTGACTGTGAACTGAACCTCTACAGACTGGGACCCAGAATAACCCTGTCCTCCTTTAAGTTGTGGCTGTCAGGTAATTGAGTCCCAGGGATGTAAAAGTCACTAACACAAAAGGTTTTTTTCTCTGTAGTCAAAGTTTTCTGTCTGCGACTTCCAACACTGCTTTTATTTTTAGAACAAGTTTCCTAACGAGAAATGAGTCATAGTCATCTACTTTTCTTCCAAACTTTTAAAAACTTGTTTTAGCAATATAGTCTGTGCGCAATTGTTTTTGTGTTAGTAACTTTGTGACTTATTCACATGTAACCAATTTCTTAACACTATTTATCAAAGAATGCTTAGTGTTCCTATCTATTTTTACATTCTTATACCTTCAGGTGAATTTCTGTATAACTTGAAGAACTGAAAATAGTACTTTTAGCTTTGCAGTTTTTCGAGGGTAAGTGTTACAGTGACTTAAAGCATATAAATTATTGGGTAAATCCATCTTATTGGGTAAATTCCAACCTTAGTCTGCTTATTCCAAAAAATGAGAAGAGTCTCCATGTATTCCATCCTCTGAAGCATTGTTTTATTACAACCCCTTAAGATTTTTATACATGCCTCACCAGGTTTAGTTGTTCTTGTATGTTATTTGTGTATTTTCTTGTCATTAACTCAGTTTTCCAGAAGAGCAATTCCCTTACCTGGTTAAAGATTGCACTTAAGGGTGCAATTGAAATTTACATGTTTATGTTTCCAGGAAAAATATGCTGTAGGCTATTACTCACTGCAGCATTTTTATAAATTCCTCTGGGGTTTTATGAGGGATGCCCTGTTACTGAAGACCTTCAAGAAAGCTTCAGTCTCCTACTCAGTGATGCAGAATGTAGCTGAAAAGGGAACCCAGAGAAAACTGCAGTTGCAAGGGGCTCTGGCATGGCCAGGAGCTCTGAGCAAAAAAGGGCGATTCTCCACAGCAGCCTCAGCTTTTACTGAATGCGCAGGGAACAGGGCCATGAGCGGAGCATGCGCAGAGGGTGGGGGTTGGATGTGAGGGAAGAGTCACCTCCGCAGAGGCGCTAGCAAACAGGAACAAGGTGTTCGTGTCTCAGGCACAAAACTATCCATTCTCCATGTCTGCTTCATGGGTAGCTTAGTGTGTAGCTTCCAGCAATATTTTACTGCTGAGAAAAGACTTTCTTCCGAGCCTTAATGCTTCAGTGCTGGCGTGATCCCATATCTGAGTGCTGTCTCCTCATGGGTTGCTTAACTGGCCTCAGGGGTGGCCGTTAGTGGAACAAGGGGCGATGCTGACACGCACATTACCATTGTCCATGGGTCACGTCAGCCCCTTAGCTCATCTCCACTTGCATTCTCGAGGCCAAGTAAGAGGACATTTCTCTCTGTCCAGCCAGCACTGCCTGCACTGCTGTATCTACTATGCCAGGGTCCAGCAAGGAAAAGGAGAAAGGCTGTAGGAAAGGGCTGCAGTCAGGGGTCCGCAAGGCCGAGGTACCACACAGAGTTTGTACTGTACGAGTACACAGTAGGCAAATGACCCTGACTGGGTGTAAATTGTATGTCCAGGTAAGAGGCGCACATTCTTCTGGGGTTAGAGTCCCTCCTGCTGGGTTTTCTGTGTGCGTATATGTTCTGCTTTCCTTTCCCTTTTTGGCATGGCCCAGACACTCTGAGACAAGGTACGCAAATGTGAGGAATTCTTATGCTCTTTGTGTTAGGGCAGAAGCTGATAATGTGCATTATGGGGAGTGTGTGAGAGAATGGATGGCCTTGTACACCGTGCTCAGGAGAAGGGATGAAGGCTTTTGGAGGGAATCAATCAGTCTTTCAATTTTAAGTAAACATTGTCCTTGGACAAGTACTTTGACTTCTAGGTGTCTGGTCTGCAGACATCTTTGCCTGTATACATAGATATGGACAAGGTTTTCTCTGCATCATTAAAAAGGGAAGTCCCTGTTATCAGCCTTGCAGAGAATTCATGCTGGTTCCCCAGAGTGAGTTGGTTCTCAGCAGGGCAATTATGAAAGAGCGAAGCTGGCTCTTCTTTGGTCTCCTGACTTCCTGTCTTGCCCTGTGATCTGCTCTCACACATTCCCATCATTAGGCCACGCACTCTGTTGTGACATAGCAGGAAGGTCTCACAAGAGTTGGCAGATGCCAGGGCCGGGGTCCTGGACCTCCAGAACATGCAAAAGAAATACATCTCCTTTCTGTGTAGTATTCCCTGCCTTGGGTATTTTGTTATCTCACCAGAAAACACTAACACACACTATTTATCCAAAACTACATCCTGATCTGTGTCCTCAGATTCCTTTCTCATCTAGCTGGGGCACTCGCTTCACCACAGCAGGAAGCACTTTACATCACCAGCTCTGCATTCTGCAGCCCACTCAGGGCCTGGTCCTCCTTACAGATTACCAACGAGGTTAAACCAAAGACAGACAATCCTTGGGGCTCCTCAAGCCGCCCAACGGGCCCTCTCTACCACTGTCACCATACCATAAAATCCACGCAGAATTTGTGATGTTGCATGTATCTTACCATGATCACTCACCCGTGAGGCCTGCATCATCCTCCAAATCTCTCTTTCGGCCCAGCCAACTTGAAGCCCTTCACTGCATCCTTTATCTCACCAGCAGGTC